GTCCAGTGACCTCAATATCAAATGCAAAAGATGTTCCACTAAGAAATGAAAATATTTGAGTATATCCATATGCACTGTGAGATAAAAAACTAGAGAAAACAGGGCTCCTAGTGATATACAAACTACAGATGGAAATTCTGAACTTCCTAGAGGAATTTATAAAACTTTCACCAACCATGGAACTATAATCTCCATATTCCTATTGTCAGACACCTGAGTCCTCTATCAAGCAGTCACAGCCACACATTATTACTGCGTCTTGTGTTCTGTGTGTAATTAAAAAAAAAGGTGGTGGATATAAGCCTCTTTCTCCAAGGTCCTCACCTTCAGGATCCCACAGGGATCCATGCAATCTACATTTATCTACATGAGACTGCTGAGAGAGAGAKAGTGATATGGCATGTGTTCAATTGCTAACAGTATGTTGCTGACAATCTACTATTTATCTCATTTTCTGATGCAACTATCATCACTATAAAACATCAGAATAACTACAGGAAATTAGCTCTTAAATGAAGAACAGATGGATCAAACTGAATCCAGACAAGACCAAAGTGATGCTTCTTTGCAAAGGGAAACACACTGGAGACCTCCACCTTTTCATGATGGGAAACAGTCGTTTTTTCCACAGTTGGATGGAAATTCTAGGTCCTCTTTGACTCCTCAGAGAACATGAATGCATATGCTTTTGGTAGCATATGGTTCCAAAATTGTATTATTTTTCCCCTGTCTTGTCATTCCCCCCATATGAGAATCTGGCTGGTATGGTCAATGTATCAGACACCTACAGTCRGGATTGCCAGGCTTCATAAGCTAATTCAGAAGACAAAGCATAAAATCCTCTTCCTACAATAYACTGCTTCCCATTTTTTTCTCAGATCTAACTCCCAGAAGCATTTCCACTCTGTGCCATGTTTCTGGCTCTTCCAATGCTCCTTATAAAGTTTGAGCCCATTCTTGGAAGCATTTATTGGTGTACTACATGTACACCATGAAAAACCGAGGATCAGTGAATGTACCAACTGCATTTCTCTGTAAAGAAGCATCTGAAAGTTGAGTACAAAACATTCTTTACTAAAGATATCTAGCTACAGCAAGATGCAAAGGTGATGAAGGACAAAGGCTGAAAGAGCAAAATGTTAGGAAGAGGAAGCCAGTCTGTTTGTACATCACTTGGATGTTAAGTGAATCTGCAAGCTTTGTGTGAAGTGTTCTCAAAATTCAACTTTAGAACACACTTTCTACCTACTCTCATTGCCAAAAAGTACTACATGAAGCATGGAAGCAACAGTCTATCTAACAAAAGTTTGAGAAGAGATAATGAATCATTAGCAGCCAGACCCCAAAAAAACCCAGTGAGGGAGTATCAGAGCACCACAAAACCTGAATCCTCAGCAAACAGCAGAGTTTGCCCAAATACGGTGACTAAGCATTTAGTTAGAGCTCACCATGAAAACAAAAAAAAAACAAAAAAAACCAAAAAAAAAAAAAAGAGAGTTCATTTTATATGGACTTTCTGAGGAAAACATGAGTCAGCACTGACAGAAATAGCATTGGGAAGACAGAGGTCTGCTGTGGCTCAAGAATAAAACTTTACAAAAAGCTGGGCTTTTTTGTAATTGTGTCTCTTCAGTTAATAGAGTGATGTTTGGGACTGTTGTAGCTCACTGAAGGGAGACTAGACATTAACAGCGGAGAGCTAAAGGCACAAATAATTGTCAAGATATTAATACTCCCTACTTAAAGGCAGTGATGGCTGTGGAACAGAAGAGAACTTATCCCTGAAAAAGGCGCTCAAGCAGAAAGGGCAGGTAATAGGATGTATCCAGAGGAAGAAGCCATGACATCCGCTAGTAAAGAATAAAAATGSAGATTCATCCAAAATTACTTAAGAAGGGCAACCAGACTCAAGAATACAGATCTTATATATCCGCAGTTATAAACAGCATAAACTTTAAAACAGGAAGAAAATCTTCAGAAAAGAAAATAAAATGTTCAATCCAAGGAAAATTCTGCAAAACTGYAAAGAAAAGCATATTTGTGCCTTAATACCACTACATGCCAGAAAGGAAAAATAAGCTATAAATGCAGAAACTTATAATACACAGACAATCAGCAAAGAGGCAGACATTT